AGCCGCTTCGGGGCGGGGCGGGGCGCACGATGCGAGCTCGGAGCCCTCCAGCTTGATCGGCTCGCGGCGGAGCGTCCGAGGAGGCAGCGAGAGGATGGGGACGCCGTCGAGAGTCGTCTGGCTCTTCGAGCGGCGCAGCATCAGCGCGCGAAGCAGCACCTGCAGCGCGTCGAGCGCCGCGTCGTCTCGCCGCTCCCACGGCCCCGCGATCACGTGGTGCCAGAAGCCGTCCTCGTGCCCCGCGCCAAAGGGCGAGACGCGCAGAAAGTTGAGCTCGCCTGCCCGAGAGATAGCCAAGGTGAGCCGAGAGTGAGCCAAGGTGAGCCGAGGTGAGCCGAGAGAGAGCCGAGAGATAGCCAAGGTGAGCCGAGAGTGAGCCGAGAGTGAGCCGAGACGCGCAGAGGTGCAGCTCGCCTCTCAGGTCGGAGAGGGACGCGTAGAGCGGCGTGCCGGACACCATCCACCGCCGGCGGCCAGAGAGGCGCTCGCACTTCTTGGCGAGCTCCGTAGTCGAGGAGCGAACCTCCTGCAACTCGTCGAGCACGTGTGAGTACCAGGACTCTTCTTCCTCTTCTCATTACGACTCTAGGCTCCTGCATCTCGTCGAGGACGATCCGCCGCCAGCCGATCGCGCCAAGAGCCGCCGGACACTTGTCGAGGGCAGGGTAGGTCGTCACGACCACGTCGTGCGCCTGTTGATCCACACTCATCGCGAGGTCAGAACGCGAGCCACTGAGCGTGGGCCGTCACGACCACGTCGTGCGCCGCGAGCGCCGCCGCCGAGCCGCGCCACTTGCCCGCCGCGTCGCGAGGGACGACCTGATCCGCGGTGATCTCGGGTGATCTCGGGCGATCTCGGGTGATCTCGGGTGATCTCGGGCGATCTCGGGCGATCTCGGGCGATCTGGGGCGATCTCGGGTGATCTCGGAAGACCTGCTCCGCCGTGTACGACGCCACGCGCAGCCGAGGCCCTCCTCCTCCTCCTCCTCCCCCTCCTCCGGTGCCGCCGCCGACCAAGCTCTTTCGGATCTCGGCGAGCCACTGGCACACCAGCGTCGGAGGCACCTGTCCACCGCCAGCGGTGTGAAGAGACGCCGTCCACACGCAGAGAGCCGCCGCCACACCAGAGCGTTGTGAGGCGCCACGATCAGAGTCGCGTGGGAGGGGATCTTGCCGTCGGCGTCGCTGCCGCCATCGCCGCCGCCCGCCGCCCTTGCCTTTGCCTTCCCGCCAGCCGCCTTGCCCTTGCGCCGCTGGGGCGGGGGAGGGGGCGGCGGCGGCGACGGCGGCGACGGCGTCGGGGGGGACGAGGAGGAGGAGGAGGAGGCGGCGGCGGGCTGCGAGGTCTGCGAAGTCGGGAGGGTGGCCACGATGAGCGCGAGGACCTCGAGGGTCTTGCCGAGCCTGTGACACCATACTTGGACCGTGAGTCCTCCCTCCACAGGGCGAAGCGCCTCGAGCGTCTTGCCGCACCCCATCTCGTCGCAGAGCAGGCCGCCCAGGGCGAAGGGCGGCGCCTGCAGAGACCGCAGAGCCACCGCCGAGGTGTGGCCGAGGTGTGGCCGAGGTGTGGCCGAGGTGTCGCCGAGGTATCGCCGAGGGATCGCCGAGGTATCGCCGAGGTGTCGCCAAGATGCCACCCCCCTCCCCCCAAAGGGCGACGGGCGGCGCCTGCAGCCGCATCTCGCCCAGCGCGCGCGAGTAGTAGTACCTGCCTCCGTCCGCCCACGGCCGGACCTCCCAGAAGAGCCCGTTGACGCCGCGCGGCAGGAGGGTCTCGTCCTCCATGTCGACCATCCACGCGAGGGCCTGCAGCTGGTACCGCTTGAGCGCGAGGGCGAGGCCCTCGGGCTGGTCAGCCTCGCGGTACCCGGTGTGCTCGCAACTCTTGAGCACGCCCTCGAGCGAGAAAGGAGGCGCCGCCCCGCCGCCGCGCGACGCGAACAGCGTCGGCTGGGCCGGCAGCGGGGTGACGGGCGACGGCGGCGCCGCGGGCGAGAGGTGCTCCATGAGCAAGCGGAGGGAGGGGTGGGCGATGAGGTAGAGGAGCAGCCGCGTCGCGTACACGTGCATGCACACCTCCACCCGCCGCCCCCCGCCCAGCCGCCCTCCTGCCCACAGCCGGACCACGTGAAGAGGCGCTCACACATACCTTCTCCACACCCCGCCCCCTTCCCCCTCCCCCTCCCCAGCCGGCACCTCCCTTGAGGAGGGGCTCGGGTCCAGCGACGCAGACGGCGCGCAGCAGCGGCGAGCCCCACAGGGAGGGATCGGGGACGGAGAGCGCCACCACCGCCTCGAGCAGCGCCTCGGAGTGCTCCTCCTCCGCCACCAGGCTCCCTACAAGGCACCAACGCGCCGCTGTCTCGCAGAGGCTCGCGGCGTGCCCTCTCCTCCACCCAACCCAGCGCTGCCGGCGTGCAGCGCGGAGAGCAGCTTGCTCGGCAGCGCGTGCCCCTGCCCCTCGACTTCTCCGCTGGCGGCGTGCCACCCCTCGCGGCAGCTCGTGTCGGCGCCGTCCGGAGCGATCTCGGCCGACGCGGCGAGTGCCCGCGCCGCAGCGCCAGACTTGCTGTCGCGGCACCAGCGCGCCTCGGGCTTGCGCGGCTTTGTGGCGCGCTCGCGGAGGCCGAGCGCTCGCGCGAGGCCCTCGCCCGTCTCGGCGGCGTCCGCCGTGAAGGTGAGCCGCGCCGAGCCGAGCAGCCGCACGACGTCCAGCTCCCACCCGCGGCGGGCCGCCATCGCGCCGCCCTGGTCGCTCTCCCAGTGCGCCCGCTGCTCTTCGCTCATCGAGACGGGCGCGCCCGACGACAGGCTAATGGAAGGGGGGGGGTGAGCGCCCGACCCGTCCTCGAGCGGCCGCTTCTTGCTCTTGCGGCCCGACATTGCCGCTCGCTTGCTCGGTTGCGGTATCGGCCAGGTCCTGGAGGGCGGGGCGGGCGGGGCGGGCGGGGCGGGCGGGGTGGATGGGGCTAGAAGGGGGAGGGTGGTGCGGGGCTGTTCGCGCGCGGGGAGGCCGCCCGCCTCGGCTTGCGGAGACTGGTCGCTGCCAACACCGAGAGGCCAGTGCGTGCTGTGGTTGTTTTTTTTTCTCTACGCGCACTGGCATCTAAACAGGTACACCACGAAAAGAGGCGAAAAGAAACTCGCGTGGTCACAGGCGAAAAGAAGTTGTAGGTATGTTGTTGGCAAGGTGATTTTATACCGGCACGCGCACACGGGACGCGCACTGCCACTTGCTTGGGTGAGTGAGTGAGTATTCTTGATACGAAACCACGACGACACACACCAGTCGACTCGCATCGGTTGCCTCCATTAACGGCGGAGCTATTCTCGCGCCCACACCACACCTGGCTCCAACGTGGACACGCCCATAGCTGGGGACACTACTAGGTCATGCATGGCATCACAGAAGTTTTATCTCTGGGCCCCGAAACGCATCTCTAGCAGCGTCGTTACGCATGCGCCCTCCCCTCCTGGGCGCATGCGCCTCACATCTCGCCAGAGCATAAGCCCTTGGTGTGCAGCGAGACGAGTTTTTTGCCATCGCCGCGAGCAGCAAGCCGCCCGCCGCAAACAGCCGGAGGCATCGCCACGGCACAGACTGCGCCGCGATCCCGCACCCGTCGACGAAGCTCCCCCCGCGGAAGACCGCGCGTTGCGACGCCTTGACGATCGAGATGAGCGCGCTCGAGGCTCGCCCACCTACTGCCCCTGAGAGTTGGTTATGAGTGGGATCAGCTCCCCCCCTTGGGATCGAAGCCGCCACAACCTCACACCCAACACCACAGGTGGGATCAGAGAGAGACTCCACACCGGACACCGCCCGGGCACAGACTCCCTACCCATCCGATTGCACAGGGCCCCCTCGGAGCAGCCCACACACAATCACGCATCGGCAGAATTAGTGCCTGAGTCAGGCAGACAGCAGACAAGGAGAGAGAGAGGAGAGAGAGAGAGAGAGAGGAGAGAGGAGAGGGTGAGGGAGTGTGCACACGTGTGTGGAGAGGGAGGGTGTCTGTAGTGGGCTGTAGTCATACTACGTGGTTAAAACCACGCGCCCCTCAGGAGCTTAAGGTAGAGCTGAGCGTCCAAGACGCCTCGGTTCCACCCACCGGCGTGAAGACCATCCGGATCTGCCTGCCGCGTCCTCCGTACGCAGCAGTCCCCGCGATGGCCCACGGTCCTCCGTCGCCTGGTTGACCCCCTGCCTCCCGGTTGACCCCCAGTCCTCGTAGTCCATCATCAAATAAACTCAAAGTCCACCACAGCCACCAGCCTCCACCTCCACCGTCGAGCCGCGATCGCTGCCGCCCGCGACGCCGCCCGCCGCGTCAGATGCCCGCCACGCCCGCGGCGAGTCGAGTCGGAGAGCCGAGCCGCACCAGCAGCAGCATCTGCACCACCACCACCAGCAGCAGCAGCAGCAGCAGCAGCAGAGCGAGGCGCGCCAATTTTGAGGTTGCCCGAGACAGCCTGGAGATGGCCCCGCGTTGTAGCCCCGGTGCCGGCGCCTCACATCTCAGCATCCAGGGCCCGGTTCCGCCGCGCAGTCGAGCAGCAGGAGCTCAGTCAGAGCTTTGTCGACAAAGAGCTTGATCAAAATTTCGCCGAAGAAGCGGCACCGGCGGCACGCCGGGATGAATCCGGACTGTTCACATTGTTCGGCACCGCGACGGCGAGCCGCCGCGGCCGGGCCCACAGGAGGGCTCGGAGCCGCCGCACCGGTCCGCGCCGCCAGCGGGGCGAGAGCACCAGCCTACAACCTGCCGACATGGCAGTTGCGACGGCGCTTTCACACACACTCACACACACACACTGCCACTTGGGGTGCACCGTAACACTACACAGCTCACAGGTACACCAAAAGAAATACCACGGCGTTTTTGTGGCGCTTTCGGCAGGAGAGAGTGCTGTGTCCTCAAACCTCAAACTGCTGGCGCGGTTTTATTTATTTATCTATTTTACAGCTCTCTCCCTCGTATCCGGAAGGATGGCTCTACGAACCTTCCCGCAGGCGACACTGCTGACAGTGCTGCTGGGCAAAGCCAGCCATGTCGCGAAGGACCTTGTTTGCAGCGGGTGCCCTCACGTCATCATTCATCCAGTACGAGCTTCGGGATGGCCCGGGAAAGGTGCCAGGCAGGACATGGACCGCGACTTGCCCTCCCGCTTTGCGAAACTCCTCGACAAAGCTGTCCACGTCGGGTCTTGGGTGCGGGCTTTCGTACTGGTGGTGAATGACGAGCGTCGGCGGGAGGGCCGTCTTCTCGCCGCGCCGAAGGATTCGTGCCGGAGCTCCCTCGGCCATGGCTTCCTCCGAGCCCCAATACTGGTCGTGGAGAGACAGTATCAACTCGGCATTGAAGTCAGCAGGCGGTTTGACGTCTGTGCGTCGCCCCTTGGCATACTGATAGCGGCCGAGCGGGTCCATCACCGGGGACAGCATGATGACGTAGGAGACGGTGCCATCGACGACTGCCCCCTGTGGTCCCGGAGGCGGTGGCAGCACGGCGTAGCGAGGATCGCCGGGGCGCAGGCCGAGCAGCATCGCTTGGTGCGCCCCCGACGAGGTTCCCAGGAGCCCGATGCACTCCGGCACGCCGTTCCAGGACGGAGCCTCCCCCTTCGCCCAACGGACCGCGTAGTGGATGTCGGCCAGCGAGGCCGGATATGCGCAAGTCCGAAAGTCGATTGCCACGACGATAACGCCCCTCTGCGCCAAGGCCACGTTGGTCGGCCGGCTCTTCTCACGTGATCCGCGACACCAACATCCTCCGTGCACCTCGAGCGCCACTGGAAAGGGCCCCTGCCCCACGGGCTTGAAGATGGTTGCCAGAAAAGGCTTGTCGTCATGGCGGAGGTACTCGACGTCGTCGATGTCCACGTCGTGCACCAGCATCGCGGATGGCATATATCCGACTGTCGCCGCGTTCTTCTCTGCTCGCACCGCTGGCCAGTCCTTCTCAAAGCTGCTGACCTCGCTGACGACTAGGCGCGGCACGGGCTCGCGACCGGCAACGGTGTACGGCTCTTGCGCGAGGAAAGGGCTGGTGTCATGCGACGCAAGTCGGACCTCGTGCTCCATCTCCATCACCAGAGGCAGCGGCCCCTCGTGCCGCTTGCGCGCTTTAACGTCCACAATGTCCTTGCACCGGAATTGCGACGAGCCGAGTGAGCGGTCGAGAGAACCAAAGCGCGGGTTGTCCCAGAGGAGCCCGTCGTCTGCCAGCCGCTGCATCGTCAACGGCAGGAGCTCGTCCGGCATGTAGACGCAGAGGTGGATGCCATAGCTGGCGAGCGAGTAGGGCGCCTCCGGCGTGCACGCGTAGTCAGCGCGCTCGGCGTATCGAAGCTCGGTGCAGTGCTCGGTACCGCCTGTCAGGATGACTGCAGTCTGAGCGGGCAGACCCTGCTGCCTCACCTCCACCGCAGCCTCGAAGTAGTGCTTGTAGTAGGCAGCGATGGCGGGTGCCGCGCCGGTGGGGCAGTCCAACTCCACGTATTGGAAGCCCAGGCAGAGCGAGGGTGGGCCGGGATGAAAGCCCCGCGTGTCACGAGCGCCTGCTGGCTGCTGGTGCGCCAGGAAGCGGTTGCCGTCCGGCCCACATATGTCCACTGTGCTCTCATCGCGCATGCTCCAACGGAACTGCGTGCCTGCGAGTGCCGTCTCAATGGACTCGAGCCGAGAGCACAGGCCCTCGATATCCTCGTAGGCGAGGCCGATGATGCCACGCAACACATTACGCTCGGCGCCCGAGCAGCCACGGCTAGTGATAGGGATGTGGAGCTGGTTGATGCCCGCAGTCAGCCACATGACGTTGTTGATGTACACTTTCCCGTCTACGAGCGCACCCTGCCGCGGGTCCTGCACGAAGCCCATGCCATCGAGGTAGAATGTGCAGGCCTCGATCGGGCTGTCGCTGTTGATGTTGACGTGCTCAAGGCAGGCGATGCTGGAGCTCGGCATCCGCGCCCGGGCGACACAGAAGGAGCGCTGTCAGAAGTGAGCGCGGTGTTCTGGCCCGGGGGGGGGGGGGGGGGGCTGTACCTGGGGGTCGGGCTTGCGGCTCACGCTGCTCCACCCTGGGGCTCTTCCCACAGGAGCAGCTGTGAAGCGGCTGCGGCAATAGCAGACAGTGAGTGAGGGTGGAGTTGGGAGGCGGCCCGGGCATTTGCCGCGGTGCCGGTGGGTGGGGGTCTCAACGCCGTTGGTTGGAGAAGCAACCGCCCGTATCTTCCAGAGACTCTTGTAGACTACTGCGACTACGTATTTGACCTCTCTGATGAAGGCGAGCAAGCAGAAGCATGGTACTACGTCAAGAGCACTGGCATCACGGTGGGAGGAAAGCGGCGAAAGCCGACGGTTGGTAGGAACTGGGTAGGAATGGCGAATGCGAATGGGGCTCCTCTGGCCAGATTTGGGCTTGGAGTTGGCTGCGTCGAGTTTTGGATCTCGACGCGCGCGTGCCGCGTCGAGAATAGTGCGATTTTTGGTGAACGATTTTTCGCTTGCGTTGGCCTCGGTGGGAGATCGCACTATTTTAAGGGCACTATTTAAGGAAGAGAAAGTGGATTTTGTACTACGACACCGCCAACCGGAGTCGCGTGCGTGCATGCATGGCACTTCTCAGGAAGGACAAAGTAAAGAGCGTCATCATCATCGCCCGCGCGCAAAAGAGCAACGTCCCGGTTTTCAACCTACACCCGCAAGCTGCAGTCCTTGAACGCGGGTGCTCGTGTCACTGATCTCATCTGACGACTTGTCGTGGCGCGGTGGCTCTTGGATGAAGGCGTTCCCGTCCCCGAAACAAGGATGGCGAGGCGGCGAGCAGCGGTAGGGGACGAGGCGGCTGAGCTGTTGAGGCTGCTGCGCCGACGATCAGCGGTAAAGGCGCGGGCGGCGGAGCATGCCTCTGCCAGAATGCTGCCTGACGCGTCGCCACGGGCCTGCGCGAGGCCAGCACCCGTGCCGTCGCGCGGCCGTCGCCGAAAGACGAAGTGCCGCCAGAGGCGGCGCAGCTGGCGCTGCCTGCGCGCGTGCTCTTGCGTGGAGAGGCGGCGCAGCGCAGCAAGCACGCGCGGCATGCTCCGCACGATGGTGGCCTCCGCGACGAAGAGCGCGGCGCTGCAGTAGTCGAGCCACGACGAATACGGCAGCGCGGCGAGCGCGGGCTTCCAGCCGCCCCTCGGCACGACGAAGAGGGGGAGGGCGCCCGCGGCGCCGCCGAGCGCCATCGCCTCGGCGACCTTGCGCGTGGAGGTGAAATCACCCGGCGCGACGAGGAAGAACTTGTGCGCCGCGGCAAGGGCGAGGAAGGCGCCGCGCGGCAGCGAGCGCGAGGCGAGGCGCATTGCGGCGCGCTCCGTGGGCCAATTGACCTGCGAGCGAGGTGCAGGGGGGCGCGTGATTGGGGACACGCGGTCCGCTCCGTGGTCGGTGTGAGAGAGGCCTTGTGGGGCGCAGGCGCGCACCTGTCGATAGAAAAGGCAGAGGTGGCGCAGCTTCGACGGTGAGGACGCACACTTGTCGCCCTTGGACTTCTTGGGCCTGCACGACGACTGCGGCGGCTTGCAGAAGGTGGCATACTCTCTGTCGATCCGCTGCGGCGAGGTGCAGATGTCGAAGCTGCCGACCGTGCAGTCGATCGTCGAGCTGAGTACGGTGACGCCGCTCTGGTTCCACAGCTGCTGCCAGATCTTGAAGCGCGTCGACGAGATGTACAGCTTGGGCACGTGCCCGGCGAAGAACAGCAGGCGCCGCGCGGGCCATCGCGGCACGGCGGGCGGCGGCGCATCCCCCACCAACCAGTCCGGCGATGCGATCGCAAAGGGAATCACTCGATCGAACGGCCTCGGCCGACGGTCCTGCGTGTGCAGCTTGAGAATGTTGGGCGGCGGCTGCATCGCCAATGCCCACGGCGGCGAGCACTCATTGTTCGTGTGGACGAGGACGACCGGCAGCGCACGGCCGGTGGCGCCCGCAATGATCGGCACTTCAAGCAGCCGTTTCCACATGAGCTTCCTCGCGGCTGGATGTGATGACAGCAGCCCGCCGCTTGTGTGGACATAGGCCCGTGCGGGAGGCACGGCGTGCGATGAGTTTGTGGCGCAGCCGCGACCTCGAAGGCGCAGCGCTGGATCAGGCTGCGTGAGCCAGTCCCTGGTCTCGCCGAGCTCTCGCACGCACCACAATGCAAAGTCGAGGCCGGTGATGAAGATCAGATCTGCCTTTGCCGGGTCCGTCACAGCCCAGACCGGCTCTTTGCCAGCCATCGTCCCTTCCTGCAGGGCGCGGTCAAGCCACACCTCCGACGCGAACTGGTGATTCTCCCAGTCACACGGTGCGTGATCAGGGTGCAAGCGAAGCCCAGTGGATGCAGAAGCGTTCAGCACAAAGATGTTGCAGCCTGGGTGTTGCATGTGTGACCGCACGTGTTCCAGTGTACAGGGGCCGAGAGCGTTTTTGCACGCTACCTGCAGGGCAAGCTGGGCCTGGCGCAAGAGTCGTCGCGAACTGTCTCTTCGCGGGATCGCCGGGTTTCATACCATACCCCGGAAAAAGTTGGAACCCTGTGCTTCTCGTCTGCCACAGAAAAAGAATTTAACAACAGAACAGCCCTTAGCCACCTTTGAGAGAGAGAGATTTTTAGCAATACCAAACAACCTTTGTCTTGCGCGGTCATAACGCGGTCGTCGGCGGGGCTGGCTTTGGGGAAAGTACTCTGCGGAGGCTATTAGCTCGTCGCCGTGTCCCAGCTCACCGCCGCCCCAGGACCGCCGCCGTCCGCAGTTTTGAAAAAAGAAAAGCGCCGAACTTTCCGGGCATCAGTGGGTCGCTTCCCAGCCCACCGACGATACACCCCTCGTCGCCATGCGCGTTTGCTATGTCACCGAGGTCTCTGGCGGCCAGAAGCGTGGCGCTGAGGTCTCTGGGGAGGGTAAGACGCGTGCCTTCGCTCTCCCCTTCGACGTCCCCATCGACGACCTGTCCACCATGGTCGCCTCCGCCGGCTTTGATAACGCCCTCACCCGCGCAGCGCAAGAGCACATCTTGGCGTCCGACGACTGGGGCTGCAGCCTCTGCGAGTGCGAGGCCACCACGATGGCCCACTCGCCTATCTTCCAGTGCCGCGAGGGGACGTGGGTAATGCTCGACGCCGCGTGCCTGCCCCTGTGCGGGAGCAAGGGCTGCTCGCTCGCTGCGGCTCACCGGACGCAGGCGGTGAGGCGACAGATTTTCAAGGAGGTGGCCGACTACGGGTGCACACCTCGACTTGACAAGTGGCGCGCCGATGATGCCTCAAGCGTGCACTCGTGCCAGCTCTGTGCCTGAGATTCTCTCTGACCAAGGCGCAAGGGCAATCAAGCCGCCCTGTTGCGCAACTTCTTGTGATGTGACTGTGGGAAGACCGACTTGTTGATAGGAGAAGCGTCGCCTGTACCCTCACACCTTCTTGTGGCTCGTCCGTGCGTGTGTGTGTGTGCTGGATAGGATTTGTGTCTGTGGGCCCAGAGAAAATTGTGTACGAACCCGATTTGTAAACGCAACGATTCTCGCCGGCGGCACACGCGCCTCTCGCTCTCGCATCTCGCTCTCGCGTCTCGACCTCTCACGAGCGACTGGCACACGAGTCAGGGCTTCGCGGATATGACTGATCGCGCGCCGCTGCGCGGTCGGCCAGAGAATGTGAAACCACACCTCAGGGCTCAGCTCTGCGTGCGGTTCTTCTCGAGCTCCGCGTCACGCGCCGCCACGGCCCCCCTCAGCTCCGCCACCTGGTCGAGCGCGTCGCCGAGCAGCCCCTTGGCCACGCCCATGTTGCGCAGCTGCTCCACGCCGCCGCTCGCGCGCACCTCGGCGGCGTGGTCGGCCACGTAGCGGCGGCACTGCGCGAGGAGCCGCCCGTCGCCCGTCGTGTGCGCCGCCTCGAGCAGCGCGGCACGGCGCTCGCCGGCCCGATGCTCTCCTGCAGCGCCTGCGCGCAGAGCAGCTCGAGGCGCGGCACCTGGTACTTTTGCGCCAGCTGCCGCAGGTCGAGCGCGCGCCGCGCCTGCTCGCCCTCCCCCTCGCCGAGGTCGAGCTGGTCGGTGAGGAGGTAGCGGACGAGGGCGGTGAAGCTGGCGAGGTCCGTTTCGAGCACCGTGACCTCGGCGGCGTCGCGCTCCTTCATGCCGATGCCAAACATCGTCCGAAAGAACACGGACCGCACGCAGAGGGCGGCCTTTGTGACGTGCTCGACGCGCTCCTCGTCGTCGCCGACCAGGAAGGTGACCAATCCCTGCGGCAAAGCGTCGTCGCCCCACATTTTGCCCATGTCCGCGGAGAAGGTGGAGGGCGGAACAACGAGCGGCGCGAAGGAGGGAGGCGGAGGAGGCGCAGCCACGCGGACCTGGCGGATGCCACCGTTCTGCGAGCAAACCAAAACGGTGCTGCCGTCGGCGCTGATGGCGAGGCCGCGTGGGAGTCGCAACTGCGCCTCGTCGCCCACGTCATCGACGCTGCCCAGGCGCCGCTGCCTGCGACCGCTGCCTGCGAGCGTAGTCACCGCGCCAGTCGCCACCTCCACCCGCCGGATCTTTTCGTTGAAGAGGTCCGCCACAAACAGCGCGCTGCCGTCCAGGCTCGCGGCGAGGCCGGCTGGGGAGTTGAACTGCGCCGCACCGCCCACGCCGTCTGCATCGCCTCTCTCGCCGCTGCCTGCGAGCGTCGTCACAGCGCCCGTCGCCACCTGCACCCGACGGATCTTGTTGTTGCCGTGGTCGGTCACAAACAGCGCGCTGCCATCCGAGCTGATGGCGAGGCTGTGTGGTTCGCGGAAATGCGCCGCGCCGCCGACGCCATCCGCGTCGCCATCTTCGCCGCTACCCGCGAGCGTAGTCACCGCGCCCGTCGCCACCTCCCCCCGACGGATCATGTGGTTGTGTGTGTCCGCCACAAACAGCGCGCTCCCGTCCGGGCTGATTACGGCGCCCATTGGGTTCTTGAACTGCGCCGCATCGCCGACGCCGTCTGCATCGCCTTCTTCGCCGCTACCCGCGAGCGTCGTCACAGCACCTGTTGCCACCTCCACCCGTTGGATCTTGTTGTTGCTGATGTTTGTCACAAACAGCGCGCTCCCGTCCGGGCTGATGGTGAGGCCGAAGAGGTAGCCGCCTTCGCTGGTTGCCGCGGTGCGCACGCGCCCGGCCGACGAGACGTGCAGCACCGAGACCCCAGTCGCAACGTACCAGCCGCCCGCGTGATCGCTTGCGACGCCGCGCAGGCTGAGTGACGCCAGAGGTCTGTCCTTGCCCTCGAGCGCGAGCGTGGTGACCTGGCCGACGGTGCGCGCGCCAAAGATGGGCGCCTCGAAGCCGGCAGCGACCGCCACGGGCTCGCCCTCTTCGCCGCCGTTGCCGTCGCTCTCGGTGCGGACGCGCTTGCCGGAGCGCGACGCCATGGCCATCGCGGAGGTGAGGCGTTGCCACGCGCAAAAAGCTGCGTACCAGCGCCCTGAAGCCGGAATATCCGGCGCCGTTCCGGCGCCACTTATGGGAAGAGGCAAAACATGCAGCACTCAGCCTTCCCTCCCCCTCCCGGATGGAAGTACTACCTGAGCTCGACCGTGCTTGACTTCGCTGTTCAGATGGGAAGCGGTAACCCACGGTAATATGGCCGCATGTGATGGGTGCTTGGGCTATCTCGGATCAAGTAGTCAACGGAATCGGCACGCTTTGTAGTTGGTGTTGCTGATGCTTGAGGGTGCAGTCGTAGAATTTTTGGCTGTGGCGACCACTACCGCCCCTCGCATAACCATAAGGCATAAGCTGGGAGGAGGTTTGAGAGAGCGCGCAACCGACTTTTGGAGCGATCGAGGATCGGCGCCAGAAAATAAAACACACTCACTTCTCTTGATTTGCCAACAATATACCTACAACAACTTCGAACCTTTAGGGCTTAAAATACCCTGGAAAAATCGCGTCACACCAATCCTCGCCACCCAACGCGGCAAAGGAAATCACCTCTTTACGAGAACCCTCGAAAGAAACTCCGGCTTCGGCTCCCGCGCCCGCGGCGCAGCTCGTTCCCGGGAATGCGCTGCGCCCTGCGCTTCCCGCCCGCGCTGCTCCCCGCCATCCTCTTCCGCGTGCCTCCGAGGATCAGCACGGCGGCGGCGGCCGGCAGGCCGCTCCACTCCCGCCTCGGCGCTCCTCCGCGAGCCACCGCCACCACTGCCGCCGTGGCCGCGGCCGCCGCCTCCGAGCTGCCCCTGTCTCCGTACTGGCGCTCGCGGCTCGAGGCGCTGACGCGGCCGGCGGCGCTGTCGTTGGTGAGCGCGCTCTCGCCCAACAACCCGCTCCTCTTTGAGAACCGCGCCGGCAACCGCGAGGGCACTCTCGTCGCCTTTGCGGTGGCGGAGAAGGAGGTGCACGCGGACAAGGTGCTGCTCATCCGGTGCGGCGACTTTTACGAGGCGTACGGGCTCGACGCGCTGCTGCTGGTCGAGCACGCAGGGCTCAACCCGATGGCAGGACGAGCACGTGCCGGCTGCCCGGTCGCCAACCTGCAGGCGACGGCAGACTGCCTCACCTCGGCCGGCCTGACCGTCGCGGTGTACGAAGAGGTCGAGCCGGCCCGCCAGGCGACGGCCGATAGACAGAGAGGCGCAGCCGCAGTCAGGCGACGGGCTGGACATGCAAGAGGCCGCAGCGAGACGGAGAGGACGGCCACTCTGGAGCGAGCGGAGCCGCCACAGTGATGGTAGTAGGGGCCGGCGCGTTCGGCCGCACGTGTCCACAGCTGCCGTTCCCGTTCTTCACAGGCGACGGTCGGCCTCAAGGGCCCAGTTCGGCGGGTGGCAGCCGCGGGAGGCAAGGGCATCAAGGAGCGGCGCCTGTCACAGGCGCCGCAGTTGCAAGCCCCGCACCTCGCATCGCCCCTCGCACACCGTCACCTCACACACACGTCACCTCGCCCCCTTTTCGATGCCGTCACCGCAGCCGCGCCTAGCAGAGCGCGTGCCACACCGCCGCCCCAGCACCGTCGCTTAAATTGCCGCCCCCCCTGCCCCTCTGCTGCCAGGTCCTCTCCGCCGGGTCCCCGACCTACCTGCACGACCGCTGCCTGTCCCCTCACCCGATCGACTACTCCGCCCCGCGGCCGTACGCCGCCCTCGCAAAGGCGGCCGACGGCTACACGCTCGTGCACGTCTTTGTCGACGTAAACACTCACCACGCCAAAAACCGCTCGGCCCGCCTCCTTTCTGGTGACGGATCTGCCGGTTGTGTTGGTAGGAGCGCACCTACCACGTCCACCGCCGCCTCTCCCTCCCCGCCCTCCGCTCCCTCCTCGCGGCCCGTCCGCACGCGCCGCCTCTCCTGCTCGGAGGCAGCGCCGACGCCGCCTCCTCGGCCGCCTCCTGGCTTCCCGCCGAGCGGCGCAGGCTGGCCGTCAAGAGCGCGTCGTCGCAGGTGGAGTGTCAGAGCACTCTTGGTTCACGGCTCCTTCCCACCGAGCAACAGGCTGGCCGTCAAGAGCGCCTCGCGCCTCGCCGCCGCCGCCGTGGCGCACGTCGCAGCGGAGGCGCGGGCTCGACGGCTACGGCTACCCAACACCCTCTCCGGCCCTCCCCCGACCCACCTCTCGCAGCCGCCCTGCAGGTGCAGCTCGACGCAGCGACCTTCTCCGCCGCCCCCTCCTCCCCGGCGGGCAGGCACGCGCCGCCTCGACCCGTCTACGTCACCACCGCCAGCCAGGCCCGCCTCCTCCCCGCCGCCGCCACCCCCGACCTCGGATGACCTCGGCGACCCTCGGCGACCCTCGGCGACCCTCGGCGACCCTCTTGCGACTAGGTCGGCCTCCTCCCCGCCGCCGGCATCCCCGACCTGCCTCGCGCTCTCCTGCCCCGCACCGCGCCGGCCGAGTCGGTCGAGCTGCTGCGGCGGCTGCTGCTGTTGCCGCCCCGCCCCGCGATCGCCGACGCGCTGCGAAGTGCGCTCGAGGCGCTCGGCGCGGCGACGTCTTAACTATGAATCGTGAGTATGACTTGTTGTCACTAGGTGCGTGCGAGGCGCTCGGCGCGGCGACGGGCCCGCTGCCGCTGGTGAGGCCGCTGCCGGTCGGCAAGATGGTGCGGCTGCTGTCGGCGAGGCAGGCGAACGCGCACTTCTTCCGCGACTTGGCGCAGCTGCTCGGAGGGCCTGAGAAAGGAAAGACGCGGCACCGACCTCCTCGTCGTTCTTTCTCCAGGCGCAGCTGCTCGGAGGGACGTCCGCAGCGATGGCGGACGAAGCGCTGCGCAGCCTCAACGAGCGATTGTTGGTCGTGGTGGCCGACGAGGCGGGCGCTGTCGCCGCCTCGCCGCACCAGCTGGCGGAGGCGGCGGCTGCCGCTCACGAGACGATCCGTTCGCTGCTCGAGCTAGACGCGCCTCCGGGGCAGTTCGGGTCACCGCTTGAGCTCGGAGATGTCGAGTCGCTACCGCAGCAGCAGCAGGCGGGCGAGGCTGCCACCGCCGGCGCCACATCCTCCAGTTCCTCTTCCGCCGCCGCCGCGGATGTGGCCGGCTCCTCCGCCTCCGCCTCCGCCTCCGCCTCCGCCTCCTCCGCTGCCGTCGCCGCCGCCGTCGGTTCCCCCTCCTCTGGAAGCAGCGGCGCGTGGGACGCCTTCTACGAGGCAAACGAGCGCGGCTTCCGCGCGCTGAGGCTGCGGCCGGAGAGGCTGGCGAGCGAGCTCGCCGCCCTCGAGGAGAGCCGCGCCGCGCTGCTCGAGGCTGCGGAGCTACCTTCCGGCTGGGAGCTCGTGCACGCCCACCGTGACAACGCAATCTACCTGGTCAAGCGGAGGGCGACGCGCGCCTCCGCCGCCTCCGACGCCGCTTCTGCCTCCGACGCCGCTTCTGCCTCCGACGCCCCCGCCGCCTCCGCCTCCGCGCTCCTCCCCGCCACGGACCGCTTCGGCAAGCGGCTGGAGGGGAGGCACGTCTCTGCGCGGATGAGCGAGGCGCGGCTGCGGTACCTCGCCGCGTGCGCGGGGGTGGAGGAGGCGGCGCGGCGGGAGATGCAGGCGTTGTGCGACACTCTCTCGGAGAGCCTGCCCCTCCTCGCCGCTGCAGCGCATTGGGCGCCTCTCCACTCGGGCCATCTCGTTCATCAGTTCTCAACTGGGTATTGAGTCGTGGCGTGTTGACCACAGGCGCTGCTCTATTCGACCCTGTCCGCTCACGTCGGCGCGTCGCTGCAGAAGGGCTGGACGCTGCCGCGGCTGCGCGAGGTGGAGGACGGCGAGAGGGCCTTGCGGGTGGAGGGTGTGTGGCCGTACTGGCTCTCTGCGGACGGCGCCGCGCGAAACAGCTTCGAGTGGCGCGGCCTCTGGCTGCTGACGGCGCCAAACATGGCGGGCAAGTCGTCGCTGATGCGGGGCACCCTCGCCGCCGCCCTCCTCGCCAACGCGGGGCTGTACGCGCCCGTCGATGACGCGCTCGTCCCGCGGTACGACGGCTACTTCTTGCGCACGGCCTCGTACGACGTGCCTTCGGAGGGGCGCTCCTCCTTCGCGCAGGAGATGGACGACGTGGCGGTGCTCTGTTCTTCATTCATCTGTTCATAGTCAATGGGTCACGAATAGGAGATGGACGACGTGGCGGTGCTCGCCGCAGAGTGCGGCGCTCGCTCGCTCGTGATGCTCGACGAGCTCGGCCGCGGCGCCTCCGCGCGCGAGGGTCCGCCCTCGGCGTGTCCCTTAGCTATTAGCTGAGAGCTCATCATGATTAGGCACCTCCGCGCGCGAGGGGTCCGCCCTCGGCGTGTCCCTTCTCGCCTGGCTGCACGAGCGGCGCATGTCTGCCATCTTCGCCACCCACTTGCACGAGATGGAGGCGCTGCTCTCGTCGCCCGCCGCGCCGAGCTTGCCCGGCCTCGCGCGCAAGACGATGGACGTCTCCGTCGACGACGCCACCGGCAAGGTCGAGTTCCACTTCACGCTCGCCGACGGGGTCTGCACCGACTCGCTCGCGCTGCACGCCGCGCGCGTCGCGGGCGTACCGGACGCCATCGTCTCGCGCGCCGCCGCCCTCCTCGCGGCGGGCGGCGCAGCCCCGTCCCCTCCCGCCGCCGCCTCCTCCTCTTCTTCCGCCGCCTCCTCCCCCTCCGCCGCCTTCTCCCCCTCCGCCGCCTCCCCTCCCTCCGCCGCCTCCCCGCCGGCTGTCCCCGGCGGTGGCGGCAGCCCCGCCCTCGAGGTAGCTCGGCGGGCGCTCGGCGGGCGGGAGCCGATGCGGCTGCTGCCTGGGGAGGTGCCCCCTCCCGCCGCGGTGTGCGACTCCTTCGTCTACCTCCTCGCCTCGCCGCCGCCCTCGGCCCGCTGGTGCGTCGACACTTCCGAGACACTCCCGAGACACTTCCGAGACACTTCCGAGACACTTTCGAGACACTCCCTCCCTGCCCCTCGCACGCCCAAGCCACGCCCGCTGAACGCCGGCCGTGCGCGACCGCCCTCAGGTACGTCGGCGAGACCGACAACTTGCACCGCCGGTGGGAGCAGCACCGCTCGTCGCGCGCGCCGGCCGCGCTGTACGCCTGGCCCGTGCAGGGAGGCAAGAGCGCGGCGCGGCGGCTGGAGACGGCCCTCATCGAGCAGCTCGCCGCCGAGGGAGTCGCCCTCAGCAACGAAGCCGACGCAGCGCACGTCGCCTTTGGTGGCGCCGGCGCGGGCACGCCGCCCACGGCTAGCGGCGGTGCAGCCTGACGATCTGCGCCCTGAATAGCTCTGCAGTGTGGGTTGGGCCTGGTTTATACGTACACGGCACTACACGGTACTAGTCTACACGGTACTGGACACGGAAGTGCGAACCCTTGTTGCGCAAGCGGCTACGAACACTTCAACTACGTGGCTGGGTTCACAGAAATTGTAGGAAAATTGGGAAAACACTTGACGGTCGCGGCCTTCCGACTCGCGCCTCCGCCTCACTGGCACTATTGTAGCCCTGGCCGGTGCGCGTGCAGAGTTGAAACTCCCGAGTAAAAATTCGAACGCGTTCTCTCACGGTGACCAAAAAATGTCCACCTCAGAGGCACCTCCGGAGGCAGGCCGCCGCACGCCGGCGACACAGCTCCAGCTGTCGAACTGACCCGCAGCTCCTCTCAGAGCGGGAACTGTGACGAAAGTTGACTGAGGCGGTTGTCAGGAATCATCATACGGATCACATGGTGGCTCTCTCATGACGGGAGACCGACCGACCACTCCTGGGTGGCACTGCCACCGGTGTCGCTCGACGTCCTGTCGACAGCGTGCCGACAGCGACACAGACCATGTGGGACGCGTCGAGTATCGACCTCTACTGCTTACCCAGCCTTCGAGTGTATCCTGGCCGTGGTCCCACACCCACTGGTGTCCATCTCAGAGACCGCAGGAGGTCATGAGGGTCGATGGGAGTGCCAACCCCACAATGTGCCTAAAGACCCAGCCCAGTAGGCAACTGCACACGACCTCAACGTACGTTGTAACTCAAAGTCTCAACTTTGCAATTGAATTTTGCCCCATTTGCGCAATATACCTTCTCTACGGCTTTTCACTCGCACGCGACATGCCGCGCGTAAGCCGCCGCCGCCTCCACAGCCGAGTCAAAGAGGCCGAGGGAGAACCGCCGTCCACCCACGTAGTGTACCGCCTGGAAGCGCCCAGAGGCGTGCTTGCTCACGCACTTGTAGCCGGTATTGCTGCTGCTAGAGACGTGCAGTCGCAAGCCCGCGTCCGCCTCTGTCGCCACCGCCGGAGTAGCCGGCGCCTGATACTCCCCCACAGTCCGCGCGTAGGCAACCGCTGCATCCACCGCCGTGTCGAACGTGCCGAGGTAAACATTGCGCCTTCCGTCAACCTTGTGTGACGCCTCGAAGCGGCCGTGAGCCCGCTTGACAACTGCAGCATAGCCTGTGCTGCTGCGACTGGAGAGGTGCAAGCGCAATCCCTCCGCCACCAGCTCCGGCGCTGACACCTCGTCCTCGTCCGAGTCTTCTGGGGCCTGTCCTGCCGCCCGCGCATAGGCCACTGCCGCTTCGACCGCCGTGTCGAAGGCGCCGAGGTTCACCGACGTTCCGCCCACCCGGCGCCGCGCCTCGAAGCGGCCCGAGGCGCGCTTGCACACCCCCGTGTAGCCGGAGAGGCTGCTACTGGAGAGATGCAAGGGAAAGCCCTCCGCCTCCGCCACTGGAGCCTCGCTACTCCCGCCTTCTGCCTCGAACTCCGCCTCCCCATCCTCCGCCTCCTCCTCGCTGTCCTCCTCCTCGCCGAAATCCTGCGCCTCTCGCTGCTGCTGAAGCTTGCGCCGGTACCACAGCGGGCGCGCGCGCGGGTCCTCTGTCGCACGGAGGCGATCTGGCGCCTTGACGGCCCGGCGCGACACTTTCCATTTTCGCCGCTCCGACTCAGCCTCCGCCTCGGCCACCGCAGTCGCAGCCGCAGCAGCCGCCGCGGCAGCCTCCGCAGCAGCCTCCGCCTTGCACCGCGCCTCATCCTCCTGCCCCACCCGCTCCTCCTCCGCCGCAGTCGCCGCCTCCTCCAGACGTCGACGCTCCGCTTCCTCCTCCGCCGCCCTCTCCGCTTCGATTCGAGCCGACTCGGCTCGCGTGACCTCCTCCTCTCGGCGAGCCTTATCCGCCGCCTGCGCCGCCTCCGCCGCCTGCGCCGCCTTCTCAGCCTTGGCTCGGGCTGCTTCCTCAAGCCTTCGACGCTCCGCCGCCGCCGCCGCTGTCGCTGCCGCAGCAGCCACTGCCGCCTCTTCCTCCGGGCAACGGGGATGCAATTTCGGTGTTACCGGAGGCAACACGTCTGGCGGCGCAGCCGCAGTGCCCACCGGCTCGTGCTCCGAAATGGCGGCACCGTCATCGATTTCCACCTCCACCTCCACCTCCATCGCCTCCGCCTCCGCCACCCGCTCTGGCTCCGGCTCCTCGACCTCGTCTGCCTCGTCCGCGAGCGGCTCGCGCACAGCCACTGCGCCCCCTGGCGCGCCCTCACCGTCCGTCGCCACCGCCGACGCCGCCTCAATGCCGGCCTGCACCAGGCTTTTGCTTCGCCGCCGAACAGGGTCCGCCGACTCAGCTCCCACCGCCGCTGCTCGGGGCACCGCCGTCTCGGCCGCCTGATGGAAGAGCTCATCCACCACCGCCGCCTCCACCGCCGTACTGCTTGAGAGGTGCAAGCGCACGCCTTCCGCCTCCGTGGCAAGAGCTGGAGCCGCGGCCGCCCCCGCCGCATCCGCCGCTGTCGCATCCTCTTCCATTGTCTTCTGCCGCTTCCGAGGCGCCGGCTGTGAAATCGCCGCCCCGACTCCGCCGTGCTGCGGCTGATCGATGAACTCCCATCGCCAGCGCGGGTGGTGCAGCTTGTAGTGGCGCTGCTCACCATCTTCGTAAACGATGAGGTGCTCCTCGGACGTGGCCGAGTAGTCGCGAATGACGCCATTGAACCACGCGTCCTCAAGCTCCCACCACACGCGCACACGACGACCGAGCACGTTGTTGTAGTAGTGAGGCCGCTTCGGAGCCCCTGCGGCGGCAGCAGCGGCGCGGAAGACACCCTTCCGACGCATCGGTTCCGAGCTGGGCGAGGATGCGCTTGCCTCTGCGGCGCCTCCTTCCGTGGCCCCTGCTGCCGCATTGGCTGGGTTGGCCGATGCTGTTGACGCTGTCGTGGCCGCCGGCCGCGGCGGCGGCGGGCAGAGGAGCAAATACCGCTTCTTGCACTCTGCTCCTGTGCGGCCGGGCAAGTGGGTCGCGACGAGGCTCCACAGCTTGGGCCGCAGCAGCGCCCCCTTGGCGTGTTCGCGGATCAGAGGGACCAGCACCCGTAGCCTCGCGTCCCCACTCGAGGTGCCTCCTGTCCACGGGATAGGCGGCGCGGGAGGCTGCTCCTCCTCGTCGGGCACCTACTCGGACGGGGCCGTGAGGAGGCGCGCCATGGGGCAGGCGCGCTACTGCGCTGACACCGGCACCGGAGGCGGAGGCGGCACCCGGTGTTCCCTCCAACCCGTCTCGGGAGGAGGCGCCCCCCACCAGTAGGACTCGCCCTCCATGCCGTCCTCGTAGTCGATGCGAATTTCCTCATCTCCAGGTCCAACTGCGAGAGCGAGTCGGCTGCCTCTTGTTCGTGCCTTACCCGCCTGGCTTCGGCCGCCTGCTGCCGCAGCTTGAGGGCGAGCGCAGCCCGGACCTCCTCCTGCCACACCGCACGAGCCTTTCCAATGGCCGTGTCCAGCTCCGGCCGAGTCACACCGCTGCGGAGAAGAGAAGCCTTCGCACCCTCCCACCAAGCAGACAGCTCCTGTCGGCGAGTGTTGATGTCGGTGATCAGCGAGTTTCGGCGTAGTTGATGGACGATCATCTCTGCCGCCTTGTGCACCATCGCCAGCCGGCGGCGAAGCTCCTCTCGCCTCTCCTCCTCCTGCTGCCGCCTCTCCGCCTCCTGCTGCCGCCTCTCCGCCTCCGCTCGCATCAACTCTTCCCGCGAGATTCTCCGCTGCCGGTTCTGTTGCACGATCGCAAAGAGGTGGCCCTGCTCGAGCGCGTGCGTCACCACTGCCCGCTGCTGAGCGCTCATGCGCCACCGATCCTTCATCAGGGAGATGCCTGAGCAGCTCACGTTGACGCCTCCGAGCTCCACCAGCGCCCGCGACAGGTCCGAGTAGCTCATCCGGTCCCGCACGTCCACCCCAAGGTTGCGGCCGCGATAGTTGACGACCATCACAGAGGGTGGCACTCCGCTCCGGTCGCCGCAGAAGGTGAAGAGCTGCTGCAGGAGCTCAGCATCCCCCTTCTCAGCCGCCTCCCGCTCCGCCTCAGCCCTGGCCGCCTCCTCGGCCAGCTCCTTCGCCTTGGCCGCCCTCACCTCCTCCCGCCGCGCCGCCTCCTCCGCCCGCACGTGCCGCACAGCGACGCTATGGCACAGCTTGGAGAGCACCGACTGGATGACCCGCCTCTCCTTTGAGCTGCGGTCCAGAGCCTGCTCGCAGGCGGAGGCCGAGGCGCTCGGGGCGCCGCCGTCCTTTTCCTCCTCCTCCTCCTCCTCCTCAACAGACCCTGGCATCCGCCACGACAGGTCCTCCTGCAATGCCGTGTCAACGAGCAGCTTGGAGTCCACGAACCTGACGTCGCGCGCCTCCGCCTCAAAGCCGTGCCCAGCGGCGTAACGGACTCGAAGGCCTCTGCTGCGGCTATTGGGCCAGTAGTACTCGAGGACCCCGGACCACCAGATGCTCGACGTGCTGCCGTCGTGCTCCACCTCCCATTTCACCTCGATCCGCGAGCCAGCCCCAAGGCCAAGCTCCGGCAGCAACGGGCCACCCTTCGGGCGGCTGATTCTCTCACCGCACATCTCGAGCGGCTGCGTGGACCGGCTTCGCTTACGGGCGAGGATGGGGACTTGACAAATGCCGACGTGCCAAGCGGGTAGCCTGCAGCCGCCATTGCCGCAAATCTTCTCGCTTTCGCTCATTCGCTCCTCAATCTTGCCCGGGCGGGGCCGCGTGTGCCACACACGGTGCAGCTTTTCCGTCCCCGGATGTCCAAGGCCACTCGTAAAAAAAGGGTTTAATATAACAAAATAAAAGTTTCATAAGGGGCGCAAGTTACGCGGAAAGGGCGCGAAGGACCTCGAAAGAAAACGCTTTGCGTCGGCGAAAGCCACCACAAAAGGAAACTTGAGAGCGCCGCAACTCTCGAGTTTCCCTGAGTCTGAGAGCTGGTCTGGGACAAAAGAGGCGAAACCGAGGAAACCGGCAAAATCCTCAGTATTTCCCTTTTCACAACAACATACGACCACTTCCCTTTTCACAGATAGGTTGAAAAGAAATAACCAGCACACACCGCGAGGTATCTGGAGATTCGACTCTCGCACCAAAGCGGCACGGACCGGCGAGGAGTTACACTCGACGACACTGCTGATCTGCCTGAGAGCTGCTCCACACAGACGCAATGCTCTTCGTCGCTCCGCTTCTACTGTCGCTGCTCCACGCCCCAGCCGTGCTTCGCCGCTCGGCTGCGCCCACCGCCGGCGCCGCCGCGGTCGGAGCATATTCTCCTGCTGCCGCTGCGCATCCTCGGTCGCCGGCGCCGCGGATGCAGTTCTTCGCCAAGGTGAAGGAGATCAACGAGGCCAACAAGATGAAGACGGTGACTAAGGGCGCGCCGCCTCGCGTGCGCGGCAAGCGGCTGCCAGCAGACATCGTCGAGGTGACGCAGAGATTCAAGAAGGCACCGAGTCGGCTGCTGGTATGCAGCGTGGACGCTGCCCCAGATGCCTCGATGCCGTGATCCGTAGGAGTACACGCGGCAGCAGCTCGAGCAGCTCTGGGGCGCGCTTGTCGCTGCGTACGGCAGCGAAGCGCTCGCGCGCGAGGTTTGGCTCTCCGCCTCGACGTGCGGATCGTACCGCCGACGCGCCTTCTCACCGCCCGGGTGGAACCGCAGGCGGTCTTCTCCAACCCGCAGATTATCAACCCGTCGTACACGTTTTGCAACACCCTGCTTCTCTCGAAAGACGTCCTCTCTTCGGGCGGACGGGGTCGCCTTCACACCACTCCGCCAGCTTCATAGCCAGCCTGCTGGTTCACAGGTCCTCTTTGAGATGATGGGCAAGGAGGAGGCGCTCGACGTCATGCTCAAGAACCCCGCCGTTCTGCAGGCGAGGCTGACCGAGACTGGCTGAGATTGGCCGAGACTGGCCGAGACTGCAGGGAGAGCCGAGGTGGGCAGATTGCCCCAGACCCTTGACACGCCGACGAGAGAATTGCTTTTGTTGCTGCTGCGCAGTGCGGCCCCTCCCTCGACACGCTCGGGCCCGACGAGATCAAGGGCTTCGCAAACATCCGCGGGCTCGGCAACAAGATCCCGGAGAGCGCGCGGCTGGGCCTCATCTCCTTCACCATCGGCGCCGCCCTCTTCCCCGTCATCGCCACATTGCTCGGCTTCGAGGACGCCGCCTCGGTTGCCTTCGCCAAGCCGCTGGTAGGCATCTTCTTCTCGGTCCTCATCGAGGGCTCGCGCATCATCATCGTCGGCACCATCGCTAAGGCGAAGCTGGCGGGCGACGAGCGGATCGAGCGCGCGCAAGCCAACGAGGCCAGGCGCATGGGCGGCAAGAAGAGCACTGGCAGGGCAGCCGCGCCGGCGCGGGCGCGGTGAGAGGTGTGGGGATGGGGGCGGCGGAGGGGCGACGACCCGACGACCGCTCCACATTTGGTATACGCGCTTCTGACGCGTCTCTCCACGGAGACGAGAGAGATCGCTGGACGCGGGACAGTTACAGTTTCTTTTCAAAGATCGAGAGAGCCCCTGCCCCTGCGCGAGAGCGCGATCTGGCATCTGCGTCTGTCTCTGGGCCTCGCGGTCGCGCGCCCTCGCCTTCACGGCGCTCAGCCCCGCGCCGCGTCCTCGAGAGCCTTTAGCCGCCCGCTGAGCTCCGAGAGGCTCGCCTCAACCTTGGCGACGCGCTCGCCCACCGGCTCGCCCGCCTGCGTCGACGACGACGGCAGCGCCCCTTCGCCGCGGCCACGCAGCACATGCGACGCCTCTGCAATGACGCAGCCGCAGCGCGGTCCGCTGAGCGCGGTTCTTTCTGACGGCCTCTGCTGCAGGCACGCACGGCAGCTGGCCTCGTCCGCTAGGAGACTCGCGCCGGGCCTAGCAAGGAGCGCCGGTGATGGTGTCGAGGGCGGTGTCGCCTCTCAGTGTCCCTCGGCGCAGCCAGCGCTCACTCCGACGAGCGCTCCCATTTGCACGCAAGCGCCGGCCAGTCGGTGACGTCGAAGCCCGCCGCCTCTGGATCCATCCGGGTCGCCCTTATTGGCCTTGCACGGTGCCGTTCGCTTACAAGTTGCTCAGCCAAGAGCCTCGCGCTGCTACGAGTGGGAGGCGCCGAAGATGAACGCGAGACCTTCGCCCTCGTCCTTGGTTCCAACTTCAGCTTCGGCGCCCCGGTCATGTTCGGCGCGTCGAGGCGGAACATGAAGTTTGTGGAGTACTGAGAGATGTCGGCGCGGATAGTCACGTCGACGAGGGCGGCGGCCGCCTCCCACACGCCGGCGCTGGGCACGCTGTCGGCCGCGCTCCCACCCCCGCTACGCGCGGCGGCGACCACCTCCGGCCTTGTGCGGAGCCGGTGGTACGCATGGTACGCAGTCTTGCTGGGGAAGGTGCGGAGGCTTTCGGCGGCCCAAGGGCCGGGCGCCATGTGCCACGGTCTGGTCGGCAGCTCCCTCGACTTGGTCAGGTAAGGCTGCGCGATCTGCCGTGCGCTGTACCCGAGGGCGAAGAGGGCGGTCAGCATGCGTATCGCCTACCCCCGTTAAGCGGGCGAGCTGCACAGGTGCGTAGCGAGGTCGGAATGACAGTGCAGCAGCCGAGGCGCCTCACATCGCTGTGGAGGCGCGTCGTCCGTCTGGGTCAGCTCAATCTGCACGGCGCGCGGCCGGTGGCGGGCAAAGAGGCGGCGCGCCGAGTGAAGGACTTGTGGCTCGTAGCCCTCAACATCCGCCTTGAGTCGCGGAAAAGACACGCAGGTGAGCCTCGCCGCAACCGTGGGCCGTGTCTCCTGCTCGAGCGCGCGCCTTGAGCAGGCAGACCTCGTCCTGCCCATCCACCACGTCGTCGAGCCGCGTGCTGCGCCGCTGCACCTCGCGGGTGATGACCCACTTGTTGCCGAGCTTGAGCGCACCATTCTCCCCCACCATCGCCTACCAAATGTGGAGGAGCTTGGATGCCTGAGCGGTGTGCGTGCGTCGAGTGGGCCATGCGTCGCCGTAATGCCCAGCTGCAGCTTGGCGTTCGTCTTGCGCCGTGACCCGGTGGGCACGCGGATGCTGAAGTTCTTTGGTGGGCCGTCGTGCACCAACAGCGGGTGCACCGTCGCGCGTGTCGCGAAGCCGGGGTTGAGGGCGAGACCGAGGCCGAGCACCTGAGGTGTGTTGGGCGCAGGGGAAACTGAGGCAGTAGTGCAGGGCGTGCAGGGCTGGACGAGAGCGCGGCCCGCCTCTAGGAAGTCCGGCACGGGCTCAAAGACGGTGACGCGGCAGCCGAGCGCCAGGCTGAAGAGGCTGAACCAGCCATAGTTACCGCCCACATCCACCACTGCCCCACCCCGACCGCAGCAGCCCAAGACGGCCTCGTGCCACGCGTGCGTCAGGACCGGCTCCACCACCAGCCCCACCTTCATTTTGTCCATGTCCTGATCATCCGGCTTGAAGGCAAACTCGAAACTGGGGCTGGTCTTTGTCGCGATGCTCTGCAGCACCGCGCCGGACGGCGTGCGCCATCTGCGAGCCGTGAGCGTGCAGCCGCCACACGCCGCGCAGTCGCACCTCTCCTGGCAGATGCGACCCTCGCTGGCTAGCACGAGCGGCGCGCAGTCGGGACTGCAGGATGGGCTCTTTGTCGAGGAGATGAGCTGCCAGCGCTTGGGCCTGGCAGAGTGGGACAGCCGGCGAGTGGCTGGCGGATTGACGCACGCCCGAAGATCGGCGGGTAGGGACTCGTTGCCGAGGAATGTGTATGCGGAGAGAGGCGGGGGGAGCCAGCGGGGAGGTGACATACACACAGCCGTGACTAGGTAGGTAGGTGTCCGTAAACCAGCTCAGAGCTTGACACGTTCGAGTTACGTACGTCCCGCAATCGTTCGTGGGGTTGTTTTCTTCTTTTTAGTGTAGTTAAATCTTCATTTTAATGAGACCGAACATACCGGAGGTGAACTGCTTGGCGCAACGGATTTTTCTTTTTTCATCGGATGGCCGGCGGGAACTCAGCTTCCCGAAGGCTCGCTCCTCCTCGCCCTCGCCGTCACCGCCCTCACCACTGCCGTCCTTCTCGCTGCACCCTGCCCCCTCCTCGCTGCGCCCTGCGCCCTGCCTAGCTCGGCTTCTCTCTACCCTCGCTGTGGCTGCTCGCTCCTCGCTGCCCTCCACCACGGCCCTCGCCGCCGCTGCCCTCGCCGCCGCCGCCCTCGCCGCCGCCGCCCTCGCCGCCGCCGCCCTCGCCGCCGCCGCCCTCTCCGCCGCCGCCTTCACCGCCACCACCCTCGCCGCCGCCGCCGTCCCCACCGCCTCCGTCACTTGTCATCGTCGTCTGTCGCCGCCACCGCCGCCGCCTCTACTCTCACCGCTGCCCGTCCCGCTCGTCCCACAGGCGCCTGGCGTTGGGGCTAGACCGCATGCAGCCGCTAGACCGCATGCAGCCGCCCGAGCGAGAGCGCATGCAGCTTCAGGCCGGGACGTCTCGCGGCGTGCGCCTGTGCATGACGCCTGGCTGCACCCTCAGAGCGTACCACCTCGGCCCGTGCTCGAATGAAGAGCGGGTCGCGCTTCTCGGCGCGGCAGCGCCCCATCGCAATCGCGGCGCGGGCAGCAGCCCGTCGAAGCTGTGAAGAGCGTCTCTTCACACGGCTGGCTGTGAACAGGTGATGCAGGTGCTGTCCCAAAGATGTCACGGCTGCTGGACCCCGGCGCGCCTCATGGCGAGGCGCCGCCGGCCCCGCCGAACGGGCGCTGCTCGGTCGTGTACTCGAATCTGCACGGCACTTTCACCACGGACGAAGAGCCGCCCCAGTTCTGGTCGGAAGACGCGGCGTCGGAGGTTCCGACGCGCGGTGCGGCAAACGCTTGCGGCGCCTGGTCTCGCGCCCCTCCACCCGAGCCGCCCGAGGAGCGCACCTCTCGCTCGCTCCCTCTCCCCCTCTCGCCCCCTCTCCCCCTCTCGCTCCCTCTCCCTAGCTCTCGCTCCCTCTCTCTCGCTCTCGCTCTTCCCTCTCTCGCTCTCGCCCCCCTCCCCCCCCCCTCTTTCCGCTCTCGCTCCCTCCCCCCCGCTCCCCCCCGCTCCCCCCCGCCCCCCCCGCCGCGGCCCCCACCCGTCGTGCCACCTCCCAGACCGAGTCGCACGGCAGTAGGTCGAGGCCCATGTCTCGCGAGCCCGGCCCGTCCGGCAAGCAGCGCCCGTGGAGCGCTTTGTTGCCGGCCCCGCGCCGCCGCCCGCCGTTGCGCACGCGGCCGCCGCAGCCGCCGCGGCCGACGCAGCCGCCTCACTCGCAGCACTTGCGGGGCAGGCGGCGCAGGTGCGAGTGGCGCCCCCGCCGGCTGCGGAGGGCGCGGCGAAGGTCGCCCGTCTGCCAGCCGGGGAGCTGCGTGGCGACGCGCAAGTCGTGCGCGCGCCTGAGGCTGAGGCGGAGGCGGAGGCGGAGTCGGAGAAGAGGGGCAAGCAAGACGAGGAGGAGGGTGTCGAGGACACGGCGAGCGAGGCGGCGGAGGCAGAGGGGGCGAAGGGGGGCAGCGAGGACGCCGAGGCGGTGGAAGAGGCGGTGGAGAAGGCGGTGGAAGAGGCGGCGGTGACTGCGGCGGCGGCGGCGGGGGAGACTCCTGTTGCGGAGGCCGAGGGGCTGCAGCTCCACCTCTCGAGCGAAAGCAGCACCGGCTACAAGTGCGTGGTCAAGCACCGCTCTGGCCGCTTCCGGGCGAAGCACAAGGTGGGCGGAAGGACTGTCACCATCGGCACCTTCGACACGGCGGTCGACGCGGCGGTGGCGTACGCGAAGGCGGTGGCCGCTGACGACTCGGCAGATGGAGACGAGGGCCCTGGGACGCCCCCTGGGACGCCTCCCGGCACGCCTCTGTCGGACGACGATGACGACGACGAGGAGGAGGACGAGGAGGAGGACGAGGAGGGCGAGGAGGACGAGGAGGACGAGGAGGACGAGGAGGAGGAGGGGGAGGAGGAGGAGGAGGAGGAGGAGGAGGGTGGTGGCGGAGGAGAGGTGGAGGGGCTGCCACGGCGCACCTCATCGGCGTCGCCGCCCTGCCCGACCGCGCCGTCTCTCACACCCCTCCGCCCTGCGAGTAGGCCGGGCTCGGCGCGGTACCGGGTCCTGCAGGTCGCGCCGCGCGAGACTTCCTCTGTGGTGATGCGGAGCTTATGACCCGACTCGGGCACTCTGCCGCAGGCGCTGCTCGGCGGCAAGACCTCGCGCGCCGACATTGTCGAGGCGCTACCTTTCCGCCTCACCCCTCCCCTTCTCCCGGTCAATGATAGATATCCTTGGACCACATACCCCCCCCTTCCTCTCTCCTTCTTTCTCCTTTCCCCCTCCCCC